TAAAAAGACAAAGTGACAGTAAATGATAAAATTCCTGAAATAAGCTCAAAAAGCACAAAAATGTATCTGTAACACATATTCACAATGTCTTGTTTAATTCTAATGTCTGTCGCTATTTCTTGGAGAGAAAGAAGGGAGGAGAGAGGATGATTTGACTTTCAATACATGCCATCTGTTCACAAAATTTACTGGTAATTAAGGCATCAGTATACACAGGTGCGCGCACACACACTACAACGAAGGATTCTTTATACAGCTGAGCATAACAGTCTAGACGCCAATGACAGTACGAGAGAAACCTGAACTGTGGAATGACTACTGCACACGGCGATAACTGAAGTTGGATGTAAACGTGGATAGTAGTCAGATTCCAACCATTCACCCCAGAACTGTAGTAAGGAGGAGGAAGAAGTTGAAAACACAATTATGAAGTGAACGAAACAAATGAGTATCGTTTATACTAGGATTAGAGTAGAGAAAGTACAATGATTGGAGTAGACTAAAATGGTACCACTTTTATTTCACTGGTTTCTCATCAGCTGCTTCCAACCTAAAAGCACTTCAATGCCATATTACAAAAGGATTAGAACATACATGTTTGCAGTTGTATGCATTTAGTTAACACCGAAAGACACATGGTTTAACAAGGAAAAACAACATCTAGATAAAGAGATCAAGACATACTGTAATGTTTCAGTTATACATGTGATTCAGCCGAGAGTTCGAGAAAGGAATATGAATGGTAGCAAAGGATTGCGTAGGAGGATTAACAAGTTGGTTAGTTGGAGATGAAAGAGAAGAGACGAATTGTGAAATGAGTTAAACTCAGTTGATTGAAGGGTCATTAAGATTGTGTCAGTGCAGACTTACCACTACTTGTGGTGAGTCTTTCTCTCTTCTGGTAACCCAATATTTCACACCTCTTACGTCATAACAACATCTTTCAACTGAACCACTTCTCTGTACGTACACAATTTTAATGACCCTTCAATCAACTGAGTTTAACTCATTTCACAATTCGTCTCTTCTCTTTCATCTCCAACTAACCAACTTGTTAATCCTCCTACGCAATCCTTTGCTACCATTCATATTCCTTTCTCGAACTCTCGGCTGAATCACATGTATAACTGAAACATTACAGTTACATTACATTTAGTTTTCAATGTGAAAGAGATATTTGTTAACGTGTTGATCACATGTGTATACGCATACCACTGGTGTACGGGATTTCAGTTACATCCACTACCTGATGTCTTGTGGAAACAGCTTCTACTTTCATATTGACGATGTTGACCAGTAGGTCATTGATGCTCTGTATGGCTGAAATGAGAACTAGTTGGTTGGACAGGTTAGTGGGGTGTATTGAAGTGAGACGTCTTTCATCCTATCTCTAATTGTCGGGGTATTGTATATGGTTGTTATTGTTCATGACTAATGAGTGTCTAATTCACGAGAATAATTTTTAACATTTCTCATTGTGTGAAATGGTTTAACCAGTTAACGGAAATCTTCGGATCTCTGCATTGAACAAGTCGCACTTTGTTAACCAAATATTTTGTAAATTCAATTTTTTATGATTTAAATAACTAAAGGAAAGAGTCGTAATTTAGGTGAATGTCTTTCCATGGCTACGGTTATGGGGAAATAACAATTTATGCCTGTTTTTTTCAAAAGTCTGGTTTGACTGTTTATCTTCGTTGGATTATGCATCCACGACGTTTTTCGCGTTTTTCTGTGTTGTATCCGTGGTGTTTTAGTTTTTACTTTTCTGTCAGTTTTTACATTAGAAAGCTTCCAAGCATTTCTGCGGTTAAACGATCTGTTTGTTTTTCAAGGAATCTTTATGCAGTCTCTGACAAGTTTTGCTTTACTCATTCAATATGTAGTGATTGTGGATTCTTCAGTTAGTAGGGACTCATACTAATGATTTCGGTTAATAGCGCCAATTATATTCACTGGACTTAGGATATAACTAGGGATACGTTGGACACTACAAGGTGTCATTTCATCTAAGAACATTTCGTTTTTCACACTTATTACTGTTTTCTTGCTACCAGTAGTTTCTATTCGACCTTTTTTCATTAATGTCATTTTAATATTCTTTTTGATTATGATATTTATATAGTCAATGTTACTTTCATCATCTTGTAACACAGTGAAGTCGGCATACGTCAATGTTGTTAAAAATAATGGACATTCTAGGTTCCTTTCAGATTTTGTTTCCCCCCACTAAATAATTACTAACTACGGTCACTTTGAACTGAAATGGTAATCCCTTTTAAATTCCATGAAAAATTCCGGTTTCATCTATCAAATACTATAATAAAGATGTATGGCGTTCAGTCTTCTCTGAAGTTTACTGGAATAAAAATGATTGAAGACATATAGATATGGAGTACGTATAAAGCTACTTCAGCTCTTCATTTTCATGAATGCTGTCAACTAGCCCATGAGGTTTCCATCAACAGCAAGTTGTCTGGTATCATTGATGAAAGTATCTGACAGGCCCAAGAGCTTGTTAAATATTTCTTGTCATAAATTTTAGTAACATTTTAATACAAACTTCATCTGCATGCCCTTCTTCTACTTATTACCACATATGCACAAACTCTTTCATTCTTGACTTATGTGTGACGCATGAAAGTACTACATGGCTTGATTCATGAAGTACAAATACAGAAAGTTTATTTAAATTCAAGTTATGCTACTTCTTAGTAGTATAGCATTTTTTGGAAATAAAACGTGTGATACAATTTTTATTGATCTAAATGCCGAAATACAGAACATATGCACTCACCATTGTGAACTGATATTATTTGTAGTATAGTGGATTTGCTGTTGGCAAGTTATGCCATGTTGACTTTGGGCAACAAGAGATTTTGTTGTACAAAATATGTGTTGAAGATACCAGTAAGGTTTACCGTAATGATTGTGATTTAAATTACGTCTTACAAGCATTTAAACAGCTGCCACCACTACGTCAAACAAAGTCACGATTGAAGTAGAAATGGAATCAGAGATCCTGTTTTTCGACTGAGAAATAGTTACAGGGGATAATGAGTCCCAAGTAGGACGAAATACGCGTCCTAGATCCCTCTGCTATTCACCAAGATCAATTTAACACCATGAATTCCCAGCAGTTTCCAGGAATCCACATAGGAGTCCATCTCCTAATAGAGGTTAAGCAATTCGGTCCCCTATACAAGCGGGAAATCACAAGTATCATAACAATAACTAATACCCGTTGCACAGTATGTGGCTATCGTGCCCCAGTGGCGTAGTGGGTAAGGCTCTGGCGTTTGAAGTGATGGGTGCGGGCTCAAGTCTCAATGGGAACAATACCACTCACTATGGTGCAGGTACATCCAGCTGATGAGTTCCGAATGAGGAAAAACGCGCATCCCAGGATCGACTGCAAGTCACCAAGATCAATATAATCCTCCAGAAATCTGGGAAAAACCTATCCTGCAGTAAATTTTGAAACCAGTAGTTTTTACTTATAACACAGTAAGCTATGTTTTTAAAAATTTATGCAAGCCTTCATTAGTGTGAGTCTACAGAGTTCAGGCATAAGAGTTTACCTCAATTAATCAAAGAGGTCTAAATGACAGTCACAATCTATACGCATGAAAGCCAACTTCTCTAAAGCTCAACTACTGGATTCACTGACATCAATTCAAATAATCGATAGATAGCATGTATCGGTGTGAATCCATTTGAGTTTCGATATAATAATAATAATATTTCGAATAATGAATTATACGAACATATGCGATTTTTACAGGCAATATCTAAATGTTATTTCCTTATTGAAGCTGTAAAAAATTAGAAAGAAATATATCATCGTGCCATAAAAAGTCTTCTGAAGTAAACAAATTGTTTAGACATTGCCGGCCACAAATATTGGATGACAGCGATATCGTTAAACAACAGTGGTGAAAATTAATGAGGTTATAATCACTGAGTGTGAGAAGCAATAGTGAGTCATGAAATCTATAAGAGTATATTGCATATCGAATGTTGAGAACAAATGAATCCGGAGATGTGTCTGTATTCAATAAGATTGTACTGTCTACAGATGCAAACGAAACTGGAATGGACGGCGGGGGCAATTTGGTTCTGTTATTGTATGGTATCATGCAGAGTGTAGCAACTGTTTGGGTCTATAGTGTTGTAAACAGAGTCATTTGAATGAATAAAGCCAGGGATGCATTTCTATCCAGCTGCTGTTGTCATATTACGGTGGAGAATATAAGAGGTTTCACCATCAAACCATTCAATAAGACTTTAAGGTAGCGGTGATTATTATCTAAATAGTTAAGTCATTTTACAAATTCTTCTGATACGGTTTGAACAGGCTACTGTCAAAGCTCCCAGAATATCGTTTTAACTGACGCGGTGTTTATCTAGAACAAGCTAAATTACTTGACGATACGATGCATAGAAACAAACGATTGGAATAAAACAGCTGCTTTCACACTATTACCTTCAAAATTTTAAACACTCTACTAACCATCATTTACGCATTCCTTCTCTTTTGGTACAAGTTTATCAACTTTAATATTGTTCTTCTACTTACTTCCATTGTTATAAAGTATGATGACTTGAACTGGTCTAATTCTGAGCAAGGTTCTGTCTGACGGATGTTTCAAGTTTATTATCAATTAACGAATGGTTACTCTCTGAATAAGAGGTTTAACAGACTATGTGACTCAATAAGTGGGACTACTTTTCCCATATTCCTCAAAACAGACGGTAGCTAAAATCGTGTTGTGCATTATTTTTACCTTCAACATGAACAGCTACGTAGTTTAGGGAAGAGAATAATTAAAAGGCTGCAAAAAATATATCCCTTTTGCGTTGTTTTACCCTTCTAAAGCATTATTATTGTGCTTTCTATCCCATCTTACTGATATCTTCCATAAATTCCATACTAGTTGGTATCCTAAATATGTCGAGTATATTATGATAGTATGAACGATTGAGTACAAAAAAGGAGTCCAGTAAAATCTGGATATTATTTTCAAGAGAAACAAATAGATCAAATACAACTTTATAAAATGATAAGACGAATAGTTTTCTTCAAAATAAATAGTTTGTCAATCAACACTGCACTGTTTACTCTTAGATTTTTCTTTTTTCTTATTAAAAATTACAAGTAATCTCTAATGAAAAAATGAACAAGAACAAAATCTTTCTTCTCTTCTTACCATTAAGTAGTTAAGTTTTAAAAACAGTATTTAATTATCATGCTTATGATGAAATAAACGCATAAATATTGGTACAATACAAATAGTTGTTAATGGACAAATGATAGCCTGTAGAAATGCATTCAATAATTGTATTACATTAATATAACCGGTAAATCATCTAATATATATGTGGTGAAAAGATTAATTATACTATTACATAAAGATTCCATAAATTTAGTAGTTAAAAGTACAATTACCAAACTGAAGAAAATAATCTGTGCAGAGTTAGTACCTAATACTGATTGTTGAGAATCCATTGGTCTAAAACGTAAACCCAGTGATAGACCTGAAATGAAAAGTTAATCAGTGATCAATAATAAAGATAATCTTAAAAAAAGAAAGAAAAGCATGTAGGATTTAAGTCACCAGGCTCCCAGGTGCTGATGAAATCTTAGTTTCACTTCAATCATCACACAGTATCAACACAAGTCTGCCAAACCATGATAATCTCACATAGTCAAACTCATAATCAATATGATACTCCCCCTCTCTAATTCACGCTGATTTATATTGAGATGAGAAGTTCCAACTGGGTAGTCGGTGTGAATACAATGAACGGATAGTAACCTATCACGAATTCACTCACATACCAATGACACGAAACCCTTGATGATTGACGAGGAATTAAAATCTGGTTGGCAGGTCTGAGTCTCGTAGGTCAGTCGATTGAACATCTAGCCGGTAATCCGGTGGTAGCTGATTTGAATCCTGCCACCTTCAATCGTCATCAGTCAGTATCAATATACTTTTGTAGTAAATAAGAACTTATATATATATATATATATATATATATATATATATATATATATATATATATATATTACTGACTGACTGACTGATATGTACAGTTATTAACTATTCATGTCAATCAATCATTGACACACAGATAAAATCAATATAGAACCTTGCATACAAGTGCCACACTTTACGGTATTATACAAAGAACACAGAAAAAGAATGCTATCAAGGTAAGCAATATTTTATGAAAGGATAAAGAGTTTGAAGATAATGATTAGTTAAAATATTCAAGTTTTAGAAACATCAAAGAGTGAATATATCTGTGCCATTGTTATCGATTTCCAGCCATGTCATCAAGAGTCCTAAACCACGGATTCCTTTCGTCTCAGAGACTCCAGCCACATAGTCTACATCTCCCCATACGGCTCAGACTGGCAGTAAGAGATTTCAAGAACTGGAACCACGTCTTGGTCTGGCCACCCTGAGGCGTCTTCCAAATTAATCCAACTTCTCCTAGCATAGGACGTCGAGGCAGGCGGTGGCTCGATATGCGTAACACATGTTCAAACCACATCAGCCGAAGAAATCTCACAATCTCACCAATCGACTTGCCTATAACCCTTCGCCTGACTTCAACATCACTCATACGGTGATTCGATCAAACGCGGACAATGCTTCATACGTGATCAAAAACCCGTAACTACCTCATATCTTCTACTCTCATTCGACCCAGCGGCCGCCAGGTTCGAATCCGGTCGCCGTCCAGATTTTCATCTCACCTTCAATCACCACCTAGTATAAATACTAGTCTAACAAACTACGGCTATCTAAGATAGTCAAATGGTAATAAAATTAGTTTAGAAATAGTATCCATCATGAACTGACATCAGTTGGGGAACCATTGAAAATCTAGGAGCACTGGACAGCTGTTTCGTCCTAATATGGGACTCCTAAGCAGATGAATACTACTTCTAAATTAAAAATCCCCATTCATCTCAAAAATAAAATTAGTGTTAGTATAAGGGATATGAATGTTGAGAATGACATGTCATTGTAAACAGATGTTCAGATAGACAAAGTAGGTCAAGACTTGGAAAAGAACTATTAGGTTGTATAACAGTGGAGGATGAAAGCAATGGATAAATAAAGTTTGAGTGTGAATATAGTAGGGGCGTGAAATGGATGACGACAATAAAATAAAAAGGCAAGCGCATTTTAAAAACCTATAGGTGAGGTCATTCATTAGGTCTTCCCTTGCCAAAGGCTGTAAAGACTGAAGGTTGTAAAAATTTCTTATTTTGAATAAAAAGTTCTGGATTGTTCATTTGAATCCCTACAGCCTCAGCTATGTGCTAGAGAGGAGTTCGAACTCCATCGGAGTTGATTTTACCTACTTGTATGTGGTGATAATCATCAGCTATAAATCTTTCGAACCCCCTATTTAATCTGACTTCATTTATATATCATTTAAAGTTATTTCACATATTAAGTTACCTCATTTTCAAGTATCTGAGGTGATGCGATATGAGACAATGAGTTCTTTCAAGTTCCCTCTAACAGTCAAGCTTTCTGGCGAACTTTCCTGCTGTTTATTCACCAATGATCTCTGAGCATTAACTATGAATATGACAACTTTCTATCGGGGACACGGTCTATCATATTATCAGAATAGTATATGTGCAGTGGCCAGCTGAGTAGAGTTTCAAGGAGAAAGAACTTAAAGCACCCGTAAAGCTCAGTTTATAAATGACTAGAACTTTTACGGAAGATTGATGAAAAGGAACACACTTGCTCTTTCACAGTTCATATATTCTGATCAATATCCATTTCTAACTGAAAAAATTGATAATGCTTTGGTCACTAATTGATATACTCTGCTCAAATGAATACTATAAGTGGATTAAACAGAAAACTAAGTTGTTAAGCTACTAAATATCGGTAGGCACATTTAGGGAATATTCCTTTTTTAAATCAATTCACAAGAAAACAACAAAAGTCTAATCCAAAGAACTGATACAAATATTTTGAAAAAAATAATGCTCACCAGTAGTTGTCCCAGCTATCCTAGAAAATCCCATCATAGGACTAGTTGATAAATGAATCCATTCCGATCGTGCACAGGCTGATTGTGCCAAGTTTATACTCCAATTAGGATCCAATTTCATACCATATTCTAAGAACAGACTAAATAGATATGCGCAAATGAATGAACTGAAGCCTAGCCATAATAATTCATTTGGATAACTTAAAAAATGAGCAATTTGTCTATGTAACCAATTTGTATTCTCTTCACTTGATGAAGTGATCGACTCACTCACGGAATGAAATAATAAACCAATCATGAGACCTAAAGTTGTAAAGGGAAACAACTTTTCATCAATAATAAAGAATATTTTGATTACTAGTTACAACTTACGTTATTTATAAATTTAACAACAATAAAAACAAATTTCAGAACCTTGTATTAGTTCTTATTTGTTACAAAAGTATATTGATACTGACTGATGACGATTGAAGGTGGCAGGATTCAAATCAGCTACCACCGGATTACCGGCTAGATGTTCAATCGACTGACCTACGAGACTCAGACCTGCCAACCAGATTTTAATTCCTCGTCAATCATCAAGGGTTTCGTGTCATTGGTATGTGAGTGAATTCGTGATAGGTTACTATCCGTTCATTGTATTCACACCGACTACCCAGTTGGAACTTCTCATCTCAATATAAATCAGCGTGAATTAGAGAGGGGGAGTATCATATTGATTATGAGTTTGACTATGTGAGATTATCATGGTTTGGCAGACTTGTGTTGATACTGTGTGATGATTGAAGTGAAACTAAGATTTCATCAGCACCTGGGAGCCTGGTAACTGAATTGCTAGAGTCCCATTAAGGTAAGCTGGAGGCCATTGGTTCGAATCCTTCCACACACAACTACAATTTCCATTTCCCTTTCAATCATCACTAAGTATCAATACAGGTCTGCCAAACGACGGTTATCTCAGATAATCACACTGATAACAAATTGATGAATACTATTTTCACAGCACATCTTTTTGTATATATAAATAGAAGTTCATACAATACATAACATGCGTTATTACCACTGTAACACAATCTGTTATTTGATGTCGTGGACAATGAACTCAATATGTTACATCAGGCTTAATGATACGACATGGCTCCTCAGACTATAGTAGAGAAGACAGGCTTCAAACCCAAAATGCATCAGTTGAAAATTGAGGCACAGACTTCAAACACTAATCACAGAAGAACAGGAATAAATCTAAATAATTAAATATATGCAAGTTTGTGCATGAATAGTGAGTCACACCAGTTGTATATAGGTTGACGATACTATATGAATGTCCTAAACTCAATGCTTGATGGTCACAGCAATGACTAATAATCCAGCACATCTTTCTGTCTTATTTACAGCCTTCTCAAAAGAAATAAATGAAGAAACGATTGATTTATACTCAATTGTACAGCTACAGTTCACTAATCTAAGCACTTGATTTTCAACCGATTAGTCATTAATTTGAACTCATCTCCACTCGTCGAGGTTTAGCAAATAGGGTATGTCATTAGCCGTCCCATATTTGATGTGGATCATTGCCTACCGTACGAAGATTTGGACGTTTGACTTTCTTAATAATTCAGTTGAGTAAATATTTCCACTAAATATACCCACCTGCAGATCTCTCAAACTATATCGACTCGCATTTTCTTGTAATACTAAAACAATGACTTGCAAACATTTTGGGATAATACAAAAAGAATGAAAAGAAAAAAAGCCCATTTTGTTTTATCTAAAGTTACACAAACTAAAATAGGATGATCAATTTTTAAATGATTTCCATAAAAGTTAACTAGCCAAATTCAGGTGGTCTGAATTAATTCGCCTCTATGGCTGGATTTGTTCGGCGTAAATCGCTATCATGATCCCAGTTGCCAATGAGCGAGACAGTTGTTCACAGTGTGGCAAAATTTACAGGTAAACCTGAATGGTTTCTAACTCTTGTTCAATATTATATATACAGAAGGTACTTTTGCTTATTTTAAAAAGACTCTTGAAACCAGGTAAAAGCTGTATACTTGGAGAATAACAAGTGTGAATAAAGCTAATATTTTAATTATAACTTGTGAAAATACAAACGTTTTGAAGGTAAAAACCCAGTGGTACAATGAATAATTATCAGTATCCTTTTAGAATCAACAAAGATAACAGCCTACAATGTAAAGTGATTAAATTGAAGGGATTCACTTCAACAGGAGATTTCAAGTCATCAGTACATCATAGTTATTTTTACATGAAATTATAAAGTCTTTGAGGTGAATGAAGTAAATATGCTTGTAAAAGTATATTGAGAGCTAAGAGAAAAATATTAACATCAAAGAAGAATGGAAAATATCATCACTGAATGAGAGAAAACAAAGAACATAAAAAACGACATTCACAGTTTTCATAGTGTTTTTTCGAAGATGTAAGCAACTTTAGTCATTCTTTATCATCATATATTCCCAATAATTTTTTTCTCATTACAAATCATTAGACATCATTCAAGAATGAAGCAAGAGATGGAACAAAGAAAACTGATTTATCAGCTATTCTTCAACATATAACAAATCACTTATAGAGGATGACTAACCTTCACTACCTATAATTAGAGATTATATAACAATTCCTTTTCAACAATGAACTCTACAGGCAGTCTGATGGTATAGCTATGGGGTCAACCTTTGGTCCCCTCTTAGAAGATTTTTTCTGGCAAAACTAGAGAATGGTCCACTGAACGAAACTATGAGCCGTTTAGAGCTATATTGTCGTTACATGGATGATACCTTTATAGTTCTCAAAAGTGAGACTGATAAGAATGCTGTTCTGAATAAGTTCAAGAGTGTTCATCCGGCAATCAACTTTACAATGGAAGAGGAGAAAAATGACAGTATCCCATTTCTTGATGTTCTGTTGGTAAGAAGGTTAAATAGGACTCTGAAACGAAGTGTATACAGAAAACAAAATTCAATAGGTCAATCCAAGCACTTCTTTAGTGCCGTAACCCTCCAATACAAAAGGAACCTGGTGAAATGCCCAGCATACTGTACCACAGCTATTTGCTTAGATGATGCTATAAAGGAAGAGTTTTCCACCACCTATGATCTGCTTAGTAGGAATGGCTACCCAGACAAGTTTGTAACGAAGCATATGAATATTAAGAGGGTTAAGGCAAGAACGCCAACAGCTTCTAAGAAGCAAATCTTCTTGAAGCCGAAATTCAAAAGTGACATAGCCAGTGAGATTATCACACGGCGCATAAAAAGAGTCTTGCATAATGCCTTCCCAGCAGCTAAATTATGCCTCACCTCCTACAACCGCACGATTCTGGGTGCAAGAAATGAAGACAAACTGCCTGATTCTGCGGCCTACACATGCACTTATCGTTTCAACTGCTCCTGTGGAGCTAGTTACATTGGGCTTACAATGAGACAGGTTCATCGTCAAATTTCTGAGCACCACTCATTATGGTTGAGCAAGGGACAAATTAGGATAATAAAGAGCTCCATACTTGTATACCAAGTTGGCACGGGACATCAAGTGGATACTAGAAAAACTTTCAAAATCATTCATCAGATTCCAATTAATTTACCACATGGATTACGCATTCGCTTACTTCACATAGCAGAGGCGATTACAATCCACCTTTACAAAGCTAGCCTTTGTATTCAAAAGAAGTTTGTTCGACCACTTTCATTACCATGGTCTATAACATGATGTAACCTCTAGGATTACTCTGTACACCTCTTCACCTTCTTGTTTCTATCAGTGTTCTTTTTTTCCTAGTTATTACGTAATCGTATGTTATGAATGACAGAACACTCATCAAAAATCACTCCATTTAGCCTGCCTCATATTCCCAATTCTAGTAACCCTATTGATTATTTACATCATTGTTTCTAAAACACCACCACATGATTGGTAATTTGATTAAATTGTAAAACCATATATTAGTGAAGAGCCCAAGATGAAAACTTAATTGAAAAGGAATATATTTCTTCGCTCAATCAGTCTTTTTCTAAAAATAATTAGTTATTTTATCTGTAAAGCTGTTTTCCATCCATGTTATATCCTTTCTTCTGATGAATGAATAACAGAATAAGACAGCGCTAAAACAAGGAATATTGGGAGAAGAAATGAATTCTCTTGATCATATGTCTTTTAAAATTTTCAAGCTGGACATTCGTATATATATGATTTTTAAAGATCGTAATCCGTGAGGAAGACTTAACTATCCTAGCCGATTTATCGATAAGAATATGCAATGACGATATGCGAAACCAGTCATCAGCTCAGTTTCTAAAAAGACTTTGTTCATGAATCCGGACTTCAAAGGTAATGCAGCATCAGATATCCTGAAAAATCGTCTTTCCAGACCAATTAAAAGAACTTTTTTCTCAGTCAAACTTCACTTGGTCTTTACCAGTCGTAAATTATCCTCTGTTTGTATAAAAGACAATATCTCTTGACAGGCCACACACATGTGTATCTACCAGTTCACCTGCTCCTGTGAGGCAAGGTACGTCGGCCGTAATCAGAAATTGCTGTCAACACGTATACCACAACATATTCCAACCTGGTTTTATAAAAGTGAAACCAAATGCATGAGAAGTTCTATCCTTGAGCATTTAATCAATTCCAACCATTCAACCTACCCAAACAATGATTTTTAGTTTGTCTATCGAATTCGCTCAAACACCTCACGTTTCCTCCGTGTTCCGCCTCTAAAAGCATCAGAGGCGTTGGCTGTCCATGAACTGAAACCTGATGTTTGTGTGCAAAAGAAGTATATACAATCTTTGTCTCTACCTTGACCTTAACTTATTTTAGTGTTGGTGTGCTTCATTCCTCTTTCGATTTTCAACCCCCCCCCTCCCCCTTTTTTGTCAGATTAATCTTTGTCCTCATATCGTTACTATCACTTTATTTTTACATGGAATTGTTTCCGGTGTTATTTCACTTGATCTTCCTAATAATCGCAACTCTTAACAAAACATTTCCAATTTATTCCAACTAACTTGTCTCATTCATATTGCCTAATCCTTTGATTATTTATTAACTCTATCACGTTTTCACCCATTTTTAATGTATATGCACCTAATAAACAGTTTAAAAGTCTTGCATAACCCTTATTATTATCATTCGACCTTCACGTGATCAACTAGCAACATTATTATTATAACCAAGATTCTTATTATTTCAATCCCTCATTATTCAAGTTAAATCTTCCTCAGGGATTACAGTCTTTAAATATCGAATACGAATACGAATGTACAGCTTGAGAATAAATTCGTTAAAAAGAGTCCCCTTAGCTGGATATCTTGTTTTTGATATCACAATGGGAATTATGAACAGATTTTAAAATGTTCATATATATATAGCATTCGGTGATCACTTAAAACTAGATAATATGAAATTAGTTGCTTACTCTCCAGCAGCCAATCAATGTACATTTGAAAATACTACTGCTTGAAGTATAATAACAAGGGAGGTAGATTTTAAAAAATGCTGAATAATGGATAATGGATAATGAATAGTATGTCTGGACAAACTTAAAAGTAAACAGTTAAAGTGAATAAAATTATTAGAAAATAGTCAGCATTATTAATTAATATCATCAATTGTAAAATTATTGAACGTCAAGAAAGTTTCAATACCTTTGTCATTCTATTTCAAAGAAGCAATTCTAAAGTAATACAGGTTTAAAGAAATATATGACTTATAATTTCGGAAAGATAGACATTTCTCTTACCAGATATTATTCCTGTAACCACTTGATGTGGGAAATGCGCTGCTAAGTAACATCGACTAAGTCCAAGTAAACCAAATCCTAAATACGATAACCATAGTAAACATTGTTGTTGGTTTGGACTGAAATAAAAGGGTAAGATAACTTAATAGATAAAGATTTTGAAGGTATAAAGTATACTACTCAATTGTAAACTGAAAAGCGCTTTACAAAAATTCTAGTGTGTATGACATGAACTTCAGAACAAAAAAAAACTGTATAACGTAAAAGAAAATAACCTAAGTCAAAGAGAGTCTATTATTCATCTAGGTTACATTCTGACTTCTTTAAACTCATTATTGTATCTCATCAAGTAAGTAATATACATATCAATTAAGATCTTAAAACAGAGGGTATATTAGGTCACATCATTCAGTACCTTGAATTCAAATCTGCGTTAACCTAATGAAAAATCAACTTATGATGCAGAAGAACATACCCTTTCAAAAGTAGTTGGACTATTTCGGAAAGGATTCAAACATTTTTTCCTTCTACAATGTTAGTTTGCATGTTGCCAGCATTCAGTTACTTCAGCTAGTTTTAAACCACCCTTAATTCGAGTTTATGTTTGTCAATATTGTTTATTCAAGACGTAAATGAACACAAAAAGTTAGTGTTTTTCACTGAAAGTAAATTATACTGTAGAAATAACAGCAATCGGGATTAAACAAGTTATGTGTTCAGAAAAAACAAATATTGCTGCTACAACTATATTGATCCCATTCAGGATTTACAAATTCATTAGCATCCTAATCTATGTAACCTAATTTCAGCTTCCACATAGTATATATCTTCATCCCTATAACCTGAAATATTTTTAACAAATTCTCTTAACCTATTTTGTCGCCCAACATGAATAACTTTGCATTAAGCTACTATTTCCTAAACTATCTTTGTTTATTGTATCCCACATTCATGTACATCTTTTTGTCTTATTACACTATCATCTTATGGCATTACCTACACCGTATACTCATTTAGACTATCAATTATTTTCAATTGAATCCCTATAATAATTGATTCTGACATTAACATTTACGCAAGACTTTTCTGAAGAGAATTCTTAGACTTTATAATATTACTAATAAACTGATGAACGAAATCTCAATATTTTCGATATTTAGATATAAAACTGTAAGCGGGAAAAAGAAGTCATCGGAAAGAATATTCTCTATTCATCAGAATGACTTTCGAATTATAATGGGAGTTTTCAAGGAATTACACTTTAATTGTTTAAACTCAGAGTAATAAGCCTGAAGTTGCAGCTGTACAATTTTCTTTTTCAAAGTTTTACTGCTGATAAAAAGTTGAATGAAATATAATTATTGAATAAAACAACATTCATTTAAAACAAATGATTGAAATTAAAAAATAAATTCACACTTTCTGAACTTATAGTAAAAATGCGCTATCATCGGTGTTAAGCTTGCCACAGTTATCATACAATGGCCAGAAGGACTACCAGGTCCAGTTTCACATGTGAGTGGATATTGGTTAAGCGAAAAACCCGGATCTTGTGATAAACCATTCAACTTTACCCACCAGTAAGGTCGATGACCATGTAATATCCTATAGAAAGACAAATAAATTAACGATGAAGTGTGGACAGAAAAATTCATTTTTAAACGCCTACTGCTGTGAAAAAACCCATTGATAATAATAATAATAATAATAATGGTGAGGTATTATTCATCATGGACAGACATCAGATGGGGAACCACTGAAAACCTGGGAGCACTGGACAGCTGTTTTGTCCCGGTATGGGACTCCTCAGCAGCATGCCCTCACGACCCGGCTGGGGACTGAATTCACGACCTTCAGGTTTCCCGGCGAACGCATCAACCATTCAGACACTGGGGCCCTGTTCATCTCAAAAATACAACAATAATAGTCTTTATTGTGTCTTTCTAATGAGCAAAATAATATGATATTCAAGTAAATAAAATATGGACATTACTCTAACTTGGCTAAAACAAACAACATCAAGATTCCTGCCAAAGCCAATATTATACTGTGAAGTGAACGGGTATGGTAAGATAAATACTAAAGTGTTTCAACAACTTTGGGACATAAAACGCGTACATCTGGGTACATATCAGTTGGGTTTATTCATCTAGCAAAGTAGTATGTATGTTAAACTTTTTTCTTAAAAGTTTGTTTTGATGACGTTGTCTAGACAGAAAAGTGATGAAAATTTTACAATCAAACGATTGAACCAAGAAAATACAACATCAATAAAATATATGTTGAACAGTTTAATGGACGAAAGTACCAGTGAAGAACCGAGCTTCAAGGTAACCGTTAAGATTTGAATCACTACAACAAACAACTGAAAAAAGGGATCCTGTTCAAAATGATACTGAAAGGTTCATTTTGAGCATACACACTCATTTTAATGATGCAGAATAATGTGGTTAAAAGTATCATCCAATCGATTTAGATGACGAAAACTTCCATTAGAAGTGGTGAGGAGGTAATTAGCAAAGTGGCAGTAGGAAGAGATAAAGTAGTCAACATCTTAAACTGCATACAGTAAAAATATCTTCTTACCCAACAGGAAAAAAGAAAACAGCATGAAAATTAACCATATTTGTAGTGGGCGTTGCTGATAAGAATGGATATAAGTAGTATTTATTGAGAGTGGCAGAAATCTTACGGAATTACCAGCAATGGGTAAGGATTCTGCCAAGAGAAATGCAAGAGACAACGTGGGCGTATTTAGAGCAAATCAAGACAGAAGCAGAAGAGGAAATGAAGCACATTTTGTAAATGACCGTCTTAGTGCAAGGTGTACCATATTTAACGACTACTGTACCACTTGTTAATAATAAACATTCCCTCCTTCGTCTCTTTCTCATTTCCTTTCACGTCTTAATACACTGCTTAAGATATGATTATTCAAGAAGAATGAAGTGAAAAAACCACACACAACGAATCATAGGTGTGATGAAAATTTTGAGTCGTCTGTGGTAGAGTTTCTCGTAGTGAAATATTACCAATTCCCAAGTTCTCACAATACTGACCGGATAACAGTCTAGTTATTTAGTCTATGACTAAAATGTTTTACAGCAAAACACAGAAATTTCTGTGTGACGGAAATTTAAACCGCGTTTGCATAATATAAATCGATAACTGGAAACCTGTAAAGCATGAATCATGCTGAACCACAGTGACACAGATGGATCTATTCTTAATCGTTTAGTTTATTTTAAACATGATGTTGTTATGTACATGCTTTTTCTTCACTTCTTATCTGATGAAGAAGACTTCATCTTTATATCTGATTTTCGACTTTAATTTTACTGTTTCGAAAATGGAGTCACTTTAAATCGATGTTCTATTGTTTCAGTTCTCGCTTAAATTTGATGAAACTAACTTGATTTCACAAATACAGTTTCTTTTTCAAGTTGGAATTCATCGTGGACTGACACCAGATGGAGGAACACCGGAAACCTTGAAGCAATAGACAGCTGTTTCGTTCTATTATGGGACTACTCGGTAGTGCGCACCCACAACCCCATCAGGGATCGAACCCACAACCTTCAGGTCCCATGGCTAGCAGGTTACCACGGGGTCGGAATGTAATGGTCCATATTTCAAACTTCTGTCAGTTCACAAACCCCCCAAATTCATCAATTTCTTACTAAAGAAACGATCAATGTTGCAATAACACTACTTGAAGCGCTGATTTCTTTGATAGAGATGGTGCATGAATGAAGAAGAAACAAATCTACGTCATAGGGGTGAATAGGAACAGGAAATACTATAGCATAGACCCTAATACTTTATCAATTCATCAAACTACTTCTAGCTATATACCAATTAATTAAAAGATAAAAACCTATGAGAGTGGTACAATAAATATTATTTCGAAATGTACTTACCATTTAATTATTCCATTCAACCAATCTGATGAGGCAGTACATAACACTGTGATAAGTCCCAATGTTGGATTGATGTAGTAGGCACTTGGGAATGTTAGTGAATAAGCAGTACTAGGACTACCAATATGACTTATGCCCGTGAAAAATGGCTCCAAGTACTAAAATAGGATATGTGGGAAATGATATTTTCAGAGTTCAATATTAAATACATAAATTAAATTCATTATACTGTTATCCAAAGGCTGAAACTTTTGTTAGTCTATAAAATGTTTGCAGTAGACTGCAAGAATGAAACCATCTAAAATGGATACTGATCACAACGTGAAATATGCGATTGTTATATCAACGCAACAACAAACCTTTTAGTGTTGAATTTAAACAAGTAGTATGCAAATGAAACTTGCTATAATTACGTAATGATAGACGAATAAATAGAAGGAGACGGTAATTCTTGCATTTCAAACTGATACCTTGATTTTTTTCTGTGGTTTACAATTTTTCCTTGTGTCATAGTCTTCGGTGAGCCTTCGGATTACTACTGTTTACAGTATATACAGAAAATAAAATATCCAGTAATGTGGTGAAAAAACCAACTCACTCAGCTGAGTAATCTTCTCAACTGACCTCGATTTCCAAACTATACACTTCCTTTCAAATGGAATAGGTAAAATTACTTTCCTTAACAATGAATGGCTTAACAAAAATAGTGAATACATTTTTCTCTACTTTCCTCAATATAAAATTTTTTTTAGTTTCTTGTCTAGAAGGGAAGTTCTTATTCCATATATTATGAACATCATTGTTGAAAATTAACTATGAATTCGTTATCAATTGGAATATCCTAGGCTTAGTGGATTTCTTGTATCGCATAACTTTAATTTAGTTCAGAGAAATTTGATAAGTAATCTGAATTCTCTCCTTTCTGCACATGTCCTTAAATAATAACCTTTCAAACTCAAATACCTAAAGTACCTCAACAGTTTTTCTACTCACTTTAATTTCCTTTTGTAGAAGTCTAAAAAAGTAAATCTCATTTCACTTATCTTTGCTTACTACTTAGAGGAAATTGACAGCTTCCTTTAACTGGCTTTTTTAATCTTTACACAGTCGTTTAATAAAGTCAAATCATCATCAAGATATATATATATATATATATATATATATATATATATATATATATATATATATATATATATATATACTTAAACCAATAACAACTATTTGCACACAGTGATGTAGTACTATTCAAATTTCGTAGGAACAGGTAAATTCGTTCAGAAAGCTTCTAGTCTTTCAGAATCACCCCACAACTCTAGTTATATTTGATTACATCTTTGTTGTCTTTAAAAAGTATATCAGCCTACGATGTGACATTTCATCAGTTGAAACTTATTACTTTCAAACAATACCATGAGAACACAAGGTTTCCACATCAAACTGCGCTTCCTGGATTCCACTGCTAGCCACTGTCAATCATAAATAACACAATCCTAAAAATTGCATAATCACTCTACTAGCATAGAGAAATCTGATATAAGTGTATCTGCTGTCAATCTATCAGAGCAATGCGATCTGGCACTGGAAACTGACGTTACTATTATCATTATTTTAACAACAACTCGCTACAAAATGTTCACTCAGAAATGTGCCACACAATGAAATATAAAAACACTATGAATGTGAATGTAAAAAGCAATGATGTAAGAAAGAAAGGGTCGGACAATCAGTTCGATAATACATCTTTAAAACATTCTTCATCACATCTACACTACTGAATAAGTACAAGCGCTTCTTAGGTAGTCTTCTTTGACAATTTGGTTCCAGTCGCATAGCTTTGTATAAATCATTATCCAATAAGTCCATAATAACTCATTCTTTATGGAGCACTAGGATCTCTAAACATAAGAGCTAGTAAGCCAAATTAACAGACGACTAATTAATTTGCTGATCACATAATCTCGATTTAAAGACATCTTTTCATGTAATATGACAATCCAGACTGCGATGAAACCAGATATGTTGTGCAAACATTTTCCAACTAAAGATGTTCACATATTTCAAAAATCCAGTTAACTTCAATACATAACCTATAACCTCATAAATTCCAAAAAAGTGGTGATAATAAGCAGGTCGTAATACAGTAACCAACACCTATAAGGTTAAAAAAGCACACATTTATTTGTTCGATGAACTAACCAGCAAACTTAATATCAAATCAACAACCGATCGCTTAGCATCGACTTGTTTGCTACTAAGTTACAGAACTAGCAACCAACTTTTACAAAAATCATCTTTTTCAGATCTTAAGTTAATGAAGATAAAACGAAGGTCTTTTCTTTGTTGCTTTTCTTGGTGAGAAAATTAAAAGCGAATCTTAGACATGTAAGCTGACCGTTAGAAACAACCCTAATCTAATTTATCTGGCCAAAAATCATTCATAAAAAAGTCTACTCAGGAAGTTATCACACATTTTTGACATATTTCAGTAAATTATTAGGTAAAACAACTGTTTTTAAAACCAAGTACGGTACAATACTTAAGTCCCTAAAATTGTTAAGTACTTTTGAATCACCTTTTTGTTGGGTTGAATTTGTATCTTATTCAGTTGGCACTAATCATATCAACATGAGATAGAAGTCTTTGTAGAGAAACTGAGTGATACATTAAACTATGTTCCTCAGCATCACAATACTATTAACACAAAGAGATCATGACGTATTTCCTCCAGTTCTTTAGGTGACAAAAGGCTAAAATAATTAAACACAACTGTATTTAGAACTTTGATCACTCACATTGGAAGTTTGCATCCAATGTATAAATCGAATACCAATAGTGTGAATAAAATCCATTTTTCAGCAAAACAGACCTTCAAAAAGTAAGTTCCCAAGATCGTGGGCTGATATCGAAAAACTGTTCCGACGCGATAGGGGTCTTAGTGTTATTATCTTAAATAAGCAAAAAAATCAAATATAATAGTTCACTAGAAACAACTTTAATTTAAAGATGATAAGCAGTAAATTCAGGGATGTGCAGTAAGAAAAAACAATATTTACTAATATATTCTAACATGGATACATAGCATAGGATTCTTTTTACAGTAGTGTTTCTGTTGGCCTACGTAAATACCCATAAATATAGGGAAAATTAACCAGTTTTTACAGATAAAAGCTTTAGGCTGGGCCAGCTCATCTCATATAGGTTGACTATAAGTGTTCAGCCTGCCTGTCACAGAACATTTTGAAGACAATGAGAAGGCTGATTTAAACAAATTCACTAGGTATCCACAAAACTTGTTGGGGTACACTTTTATTATCCACGAATTTCGAACTTCAAGTGTGTGAAAAAGCTTGACCTTTAGATTGAACCTACCTTGACAATGCGTCTTTGGCAACCAAAATAACTAATTTTGCATTGTGATTGAACCACTTCTTTGGAAATTATTTGCTTCAACTGATATTTATTGCTTCTATGGACAATACGTAGATCATTATCCTCTACGTCGAGAGCAAAAATTATGTTCACTTACAGTTATCAGTTATTTTTGAAAACTATGAATTCTATCTTTCTTATCCCACTAGTGTGGTGTTTCTCCATACCTTTATTTTGCTTATTTAAACTCTCCTATTAAGTAAACGACAGTAGTTGCCACCCAACTGTTTATTATTCCCATCAGTGACTGAAATTTATCCACATGTGATCTATTTTTAGTAAAAGTTGTCACAAACTAAAGCTTTCTGTTCGAGAATATTCAACCATGTTGATACATGAAATATCCTTGTCTCAATTAAAGTTTCCCCTTTTTAGTTCCATCATAAATATAATCTAGCTATTGTTACAAACTGCCACAAATGTTCAAAAATATTACCGAATAATTAATGGATTCATTGGAGTTTTGTTTATTATGCTTTGTTGTGGTAAACACACAATCACTGATTATATAAAAACGGAGTACCTAATGACATCAACTGTGAGCACTGATCATATTATTAGAGTTGCAATGTGATACGAGAATGATTCAATGTCTTACTGGATCACCTACATATGTTCAATGAGATATAATTTATCGGTCATTAGTTCATGCTTTCGGAGGTAACTGAAATAATAAATGGCTAAAGAAACCGATTTTCTAACACGTTACACGAAAACCAGCCTACAAATGACAGAACATATTTGACAATAAGGAGGTAGAAGGAGTGAAAAAATGAAAAAAGAAATGACAAATTCATATTTCAATATATATATATATATATATATATATATATATATATACTGCTGTCATTCCTACTCCTTAGCAAATAAAAAAAGAAACTGACACCTCGAACCCCAACAATTCTAGCACTTAGATCACGCAACACATAAGTCAGTGTGTCCTACATAGCTGTCGAACAGGTCCTTGTGAGGCTTCAGAAATACAGTACGGAAGATTGGCAAAAAAGAATCAGAACAATCTGCAAACAAACGTAACAGTATTAAATGAGCTGAGACTATAGAAGCAGCAGTAAAATACTTGACAATCTGAAGATTCTGACAGCATCAGAATTGAGTGCATGCATGTTTCTAGGCAATTAGATTTCAAATAAAACCAAGAAGCAAACCCTTAGGAAATATGTAAACAGTATCAAGGAAAAGACTACCAGCACATGAAATCATTCCTCAGTTAAACTGTTTCAGATTGCATGTACCTGGTACTACGATTTTTGATTTGTCAGCAAATAAATGGAATTCAAATCTACTTCAGTTAGTTACTGAAATTCATGGTGGCCGTAAAAATCAGTCGCATAGAAAGTAAGAAGACCAGCATAAGAATATAACCATTTATAAGCATATGCTTTATTGGAATGATTCTGTTGTATTAGAATAACCGTTTGTAAGGTTAAAAATATGATTTTATTTGCTACAGTATCTTTCGCCAACATTTTTCCAACTGTATATACGTAAACTGTCGAGAAGATGAACGTTTGCCCTAATCCAATGTTAACAGTCCTGTTAAACCGAATAGAAGTTTTGAGATGTTAAAAATGGGTTATAAATTAAATTTTCAAATTTCAAGGCTGTATTTCTCTGTAAAAACACAACGTACAAAATGGAAGCCCCTATAAGCGAGAAATAAATTAGAAGAGCAATACAATTGGTAGATATATTTCTATGACTAATTGGGGCAAACCTGAGACTTTGCTACGACAGACTATCGAGAAAACTTATTGGCTTCTATTGACCTCCCCGCTCAAATCTCCTCCTATATCCTCTTATTCTCCAACGAAATCAAAATATCCAAGGTATGGGGTTGGAGAGGAGGGTCCCAGGATACTCCGTGACGATCTGCTGCAGCTGGAGCCCTGGTCAGCTGCGAACGGTTTGAACTTTAACCTGGAGAAGTGTGGGGTAATGTGCCTTCGTACATCGGAATAGATGAAAACCAGCTACACCCTCAACAAGTGCACAATCATCAGGGTATCAAGGATAAACTTCTCTGACACACTGGATACCAGTGTCAAGTGAAAAGAAATGGAAGCAAGGACGAACGCCATCACGCACTTCCTAAGAAGACAGCTTGGAGCTCTAACCCTAGAATTATTCTTTATGGTATTTAAAACCTATATTAGACCACACTTAGAGGTATTTAACAGGATAGCTCCTAGTAAGATAGTTTTGACAGCTTTGTGTCCTCTGAACTGGATGAATTATTCTTGGAGCTTTCATCGTCGTTCCATCTAAACGATATCCGTACCCCTTCTACTAAAGAGAGACGTGAATACTCTCGAGAAGGTAGAGAGTAGGATGACGAAGTCGATTTTCAGGATAACGGGCGAAATATATGCGCAACGCCTTAGAAAACTGAACTTGTTCATACAAAGCTATCCAAAGAAAAGGGGCGGTCGAATGACAGCCTACAAGATCATTCACCCAGTGGACCATCCCAACAGGTCAAAATTATCAGTCTAAAACTGATAGTCTTGTGGAGACCCGACCCACATACTCCACCATAGGGAAAAGACAAGAATGAAACATAAACTCTCACACAAACTGTGTGCCAGATGGAATGCTCTGCCGAAAAAAGTCACAGCTACATCAGTTGACTTCTTCAAACGACTGTTCGATAAGTACGTGAGTGCAAACGGCCGACCACGAGGATCCGCCAGTACTAAAAGGAGGTATGCTCATTCGTCTTTGTATTCCCCAACCCTAGTATCTGCAGTAAAGTCCATCCCTTCGCTATATTATTACCAGTAACACTTATTTTCCCGTAAGTACTTTTCACTCCTCTTTTTTCATTCCCACTCGCTCTATTTCTAGCGCTAATTTCAAAATAACACTTAGCACTTACAAAAACAAGAATTGAAAAGGGTTAGTTGGTCTTATCAACGGCTCCGTTGATCCGCCAAACACACCAAGCTACAGTTCGCAAATAATACATTCAAATAGACAATCACTACCTCTAAAACTATCAGCAGGAAAACATAAAGATTCTTGCAGGAGTATAATCGAAAGAAAAGGACCAAAACTCTGAATCTGAAAGCAAGAACCCAAAAACTACAAGCTTTCTCTGCCTACACTATTGGTTTTGGATGTTGGACGCAGTGTAGACCACCGGAAACGCAGCATCAGCCCAAAATTCAGCCACTCAGCTCCATACACATATACCCAGCATGAAACCTGTGGAGGTGATTAATGAAGCACTCTTCTTTCTGAATGTGCATTCGCCGACACTACCCAATCAATATTTTGCAGGGGAAATCGGAGAAATGCATGACCACTCCCAGAATATGATGAAGAGTGGAATAAACGTGGGTCCAAAACACACGGCACAGAACTCGAAGCACTGTTACAAGAAACGCATTTTGTCCCGCTTTTTGTTTCTATTTTTCAATGTAATTTTCTCCCATGGTATCTCGCTTCGCCCTGCGAAAATGTTGACCGGGTAAAGTTCACCTTAGAAACAACTGAAGCAACCGATAAGGTCTCTCTATTTCAACTGGAAATTTTTTAACTGAAGAAACTTTATTGTTTATTCCAGTGACTGTTTGAGTGGCCTTTAAAAGCATTCACATATATACGAATAAGCTTAGGTAGAAATAGTCCAGTTATAAAGGAGGGATTAGCCTTGACGACACCAATTTTTGCTTACGGAGCGCTTATTTCACCTAGATCTCTTAATAATTCACACTATAATTCAAAATGAGAAGGAACGTACGTCAACAAAATTAATGGTTATTACAATTGATTCATAGGTTGCGCGCTCAGCAGCTGCTGTCTTGGCAGCTGAAGTCAATATCCAACATCTTTTCACGAGCTAATGTACACCAAATTATTTCTTCGCTCTCGCTTCTAGATCCTGCAAAATGGTTACAGGTTTTTGGGGGATCCTGACGCAGTAGGTCTACCCACTCACCAGCTGTAGCTCTGGTGAGCCCAATGGTGGTTGGATGCCACAGAAAGTCGTAGAGGGGTGTATGATTTGTTCAAGAACTCTGGTGTAGATAGGTTGGAAAGATATCGTGTCATCAGACATTATTTCGTACTGGTTGCTGAAATAAAGCAGAAAGAATGAAAAAGTGATCTGGGTAGACAAAAGATAGTAAGTGCGTAAAAGCAAAATGAAAAGAAGTAGAATGAAACGAAAGGAGAATCCTGGGTAAATTCAGGGAAGGGAGAAGAGAGCAGTAACATGATGTACCTTAACAAGTGGGCTGAAGGTGTAGAAAGATATGGGGGTGGAAAACAACCAGGCAGTATTATAATGTGGAAAGTAGGAACAGAAATACTCAACCCGGTACCAATATCCTATTACAATCTAGAGTAGACCAGCTGGATTCTTCGCTCTCACTTCCAGGTCTTGTGAAACGGTTTCAGGTCTTTGGTAGATTCCAATGCAGTAGGTCTACCTACTCATCTGCTGTAGCTCTGGTTGACCCGATGGGCGGCTGGGCGTCGACTAAATTAGCTGGGATTGCATGACTTATCCAAGGATCGCGGTGCAGATAGGCTCCTCGAGTGTTATACCACCAGACAGTTGTTTGGAATAGCTGTGAAAGGAAAATGGAAAGAAAGAAAAGATGTCTGGTGAAATCAAGGGAGGGGGCGTGAATAAGCAAGGTGAGAAGAGGTGGAACGGAAGGGAAGGAGAAATCTAGTTAGGTTCAGAAGAGATAACGGTGACAAAGAGAACCTTAATGAGTTGGGTGAGGTCATAGAATCAGAGGGAGGGAAGGAGCAAGTATGGTTGTGGGATGGGTTACAGGAAAGAAAGTAGCAACGCTATAAGTGGGGAAGTGTAAATGGAGGTGAGACGTCTAACGAAAAATTCCATTATTAAGTGAAGTTCGCGATGATAGTGGCGATAGAAAACATTCAGCAAAGGGTTTACTGTGCAGGACTGCGAGGAGTGAGTTGGTTTTATCGACGTTTCCTGTATCTCAGCCGAATGACTGCAAGCCACGCCTCGAGGTTCCACTGTCAAGCGGCTTCTTGAAGCTATCGATGAACGGGGCAACATTAGTCGGGGTAGGCAATGCTTTCCAGCAGCCAGGACTCAGAGAAAATAGTGAACCCATGCGGGTTTTCGCCTACCGATAGGCGATACTTCTTGGGTTACCAAGAGGATTGCTACAGTAGCCGTTTGGTAAGATTCCACTGTTCAGATGACTTGGATCACTTTGTATTTGTGGGTTGCCACGTAACCGACGGCAGCCAAAGTACAGCCTCAGGTTTTTCAGTCCGTTTTCATAGGGATCCTGCTACATTCCCACAATATTCTTCGTTGCTCCCCTCTACACTTTCTCCAGGAAGTTCCTATCTCTTTACAGGTACGATGGTGCAATGACGTTGTACACATCTAAATGAGGCCGTATATATGTGGTGTAAATTTTAGGAAAGATTTTAGGGACAAGGGTACCTGGCTGCCCGCACATGGTTTGTAGTGCTGCGTAGGCTCTAGAGACATCTCTTGGACAATTGGACTTGATGCCTAGCTTGTCAGTGATTACTTATCCTTGGTCTTTCTTCATGTTGTTGTGAGAAAGTTGCGCACCACAGGGAGAGAGAGTAGGATACTTTCTGCGAGTCACGGACGCAGAGAAACCTGGTTTGGCGTTTATACAGGTTAACCGCTTCTTTCTCTTTATTCGTCTACAAAGCAAACAATCTGAAATCACTGTGTAGTGCACTTGACTGTTTCGAATGTCACAGCTCTCCGTAACTTAAAATCGTCAGTGCAAAGTGGAATCGGGGGCTGCGACCCAATGGTAAGTCATTTACAAGGGGGAGACATTACAGCGAACCCAGAGTCTCCCTTTGGGACACATCGCATGGTGATATCCTTCGAGTCAAACAAAACCCTACTGGCTTTAATGCAGAATTCCTTACCGCCTAAATAGTCCTTCAACAGTGAGGACACCTGGCAGTTGATCCCTTACCCTGAAATCTCGCTTGTATGAATGGCTTGTGAGACTGTATCTGAGACCTTGGCGAAATCCAGGAAAATAACACCAAAAAAGAGTTGGATGCCCCAGCATTCTGTCTGGTTATCGGGGAGCGCGCCCAACCCTTTCGTGGACCATGCCGAGCATCATTCAGTCCTTCCCTCCTGTCCAAGTGCTACTTGATATAGTCATCCGTTAGGCCCTCCATTACTTTCAACAGGACTGGTAGAAGTGCTGCTGGCGGCTGGCGTTTTGGGTTCTACTTCCTGTGGTGGTGGAGAGAAAATGCCACGCCTCCACTCTCGTAGAAGCATACGTTTATCTACGCGGTGCCGAAACAAAGCTCACATAACGGACCATGCAAGTCACCCCTATGCTGTTTCAATACAGGCAATCGAATACCATCGCATCCCAATGATCATCGCCAATATTCTCATGCGGTCCAGCCTTTTTGATAGTGTTGAGCAGGTTTTAGTCAAACCTCCGGCCTGAGGTTGCCGTATCCCCCTCAAGATCCTAAGTTAGGTTCGTAAAGTTTCACACCATTACGACCTGGTCACGCCTGATAGCCGCAACTGCAGATCTTGTTTGAAGCAGCTATTAATTCCAAGCCGCTAGTGGCAATTTTGTAGATCCCCCTACCACGCACTTAGTATATTCGCCTGTGAGGTGTTACCAGACGATAGGCCTGACAGTACAGGCCCCCCCTTGAGCCCCCATCTTTCCTGAAGGGATGTATGCCGCGCATATTAGCTTCAATACCGCTAATATCCAGCAGCAACCAAATTCCCGCGTGGATTATGATCTTCGGAGCAAGGTGGGGTCAGAAAAATCGTAGTTCTGCCACCCCACCCCAAACTCCTCTCACGCTTTTGTAAAGACATGGGGGTGCTCCTCACAACATGAGGTGTTTCAGTGACGGCGGATAGTGTGCATTGGTGAGAGGTGGCTGGCCAGCCGATTCCTGTAGAACACGCAACCATGTTTTTTCTGAAGTGGCCTCTAAAGACGCTGTCGGGTGAGAGCCAGCACGCACGTCGTAGAAACAGTGACCTCAGCAAGAAGATAGACTGTCACTTGCTGCTATCGCAGTGTTCTGGGTCTAGTTTGTAAGAGCGAACGTTCCTGATGATGTCGTTCTTATCTGCGTTGCATGTTTGCAGCACTTTGGATAGAAGCAACGAACATCTCAAGTTAACTGCCATCGATCTAAGCGACGGCATTGTCGTCGAATGTGATGGACGTGAGGGCCCACAGATCTCTGCTGCCGCCACTCCATTCAACTCCATCCATGTTGATAGCTACCACATGGTTGGACACCATGAGTGTACTTCCTAGCCAGTGAGCCGGCTTTCATCACTGTTATTAGCGTTATCGTTAATATTAGTTCTAGGGTGGTGTAAGTAATCACGTCCGTCATTTCAGCTCGTCGGGCTTCCTGAGATATTCTCCTCACCGACCTTGGCCAATCTGCCCAACCTCTGGTGCATAATGGCTGGTTGGTGACTAGTGTGCGGGACAGAAACAGGAGTCCTTCTGCAGCCTTGGCACAGCTCAGGGTCATCCCCATCGTCGGTTGCGTCTGTACAGACAGCACAGTTTTGCCTGTAGTCGCCCGGTACCAGTGTGCAACATACAGTTTCCCACTGATGTCCACCGGAAGACTCCCTTTCTCAAGAAGACTCATGACGTACAAGAGCGTCAAGTAAGACTATGGTATTTTTCTTGTAATTGACATTTCTGCGGCCATGTCTAACGGGTAATAGGTACAAGCATTATTTGACGAATCCCAGTAACAAAATAAAGTTAAGCGAAAGCTAAAAATTCATAAGTGGATACAACTCAAAAACTTCACGGAAGTGGAGTTCTCGTCTTATTTTTATGGTACTCTTGACTGCAATTTATCTTGAAATTTGTTTCCAGGCAATCAACGAGAAGACGTTTTGTGTGAATCCCGTGGTATTTTTTCCGCCCTAAAGTTTCCAGCGATGTTATTATACTTGCAACTGTCAAAAATTTATTTTTAAGGTGGGAAAGTGGTAAGGGATAAGTAAGTGAATGTAAGCCAAATAAGAAGGTTGTATTGAGGACGAATACAGAGGAATTTAATGACACATCAACCTTAGACCCATAACCCAACTTACTACAGGAGGTTTTATTGATAACAAACTGTTTATGAACGCCTAAAATCGACTCTTTTCTCACAACACAGTTTTGGTGCTTTAACCGTAGTTACGAAGCGCGTTCATAATTCCCTTAGGCAATAAAAAGAAATTCAATAACAAGTGTTTTGAGTGTCGCTCGGTGTTAAACTACCCCCTTTTCCTTCTAAGACTAAAAGATCAACGGACCTTCCTTGTTGTGCCTTATTTCTACCATATTTTGCTTACGTCATCCTTCTCAGACCTTCCTTATTAGGTTACGGTCCAATATCATTTGCCAAATGACTATTTTTAGTGGATATTGCCAACAATAGTCTAGCGAGAGAATAAAACTTCGAGAAATAGTCCATCAAGTGAAGAAGTTACATCTTGCGTTTCATTTCCGATTTGTTCACCCGGGACATCACAAGTAAAAGCCAATTCTATTTAGCGCTTTTTCACCATTAGACATAATCTCAGGATCAGTACTTGGTTTTGAAAATTTTCACTACAGGGATCTCCAGATTTGTGCAGCCAGAACATCATTTCAGTCTCAAAAGTAAAGACATGATCACACGCATTTCTAGATGTTCAGCTCACAAACCACCCTTATATTTCCCAGCGCTTCATAACTAAAAGACAAACCGAGAACAGGAGTTTCACGAGAAGGTGCGAGAAGAGGGTTGCGCGAAAAGGGCCCCA